TCATATATCTATTTTTTTTTCTGTCTCTCTATGCGTTAATCGTTTTCGTGAAAGTGTGAAAGGAACATGTAAAAAAGATGCCACAAACTCAAGTAGCCTGTTATCGAGTGTAGCGTCTGTCTTTGCGATTACCTTCTTCTGCCAAAATCATGACGCATCCTTTCACATACCGAGTGAAATGTATCGACACATTTTTAAAGCATATGAAATAAAACTTTCACATTCATGAATGTGAAAGGACATGCACGCATCAAATTTTTACCTGCAAGACATGCACGTACAGATCTAAAAATGCATGATCACACAAGCGCAGTAACGTTTCCTAGTACGTAATATTGAAAACAGTCGGATTTCTTTTCTGTGGAGAATGAATAGTGCAAGAAGGCTTTTCAGACTTGATTATATATAATCAACACCAACAGCTTTGATCCGACTTTTTCCTGGTAAGCGTATTCTTTATGCTTTTGACAGTTTCATACGAAGCAGTCGAATACTAAAGTATTCGTGTTTTATACGAAAATTCTTCCGGAGGTTCATCCATACAAGCGTAGGTTTAAGGGCCAGGACCATAAAAACCGTGCGGGACCGGAACCGAAATAATTTTACGGGAGTGGGACCGGGACGGGACCGAAACAACCTTGCGGGACTGGGATCGGGACGGGAGCGAAACAACTGCACGGGTCCGGGACTAAAAGTCATCGGTCCCGCCCATATCTATTTCAGACAATAAAAAGTGTTTAATGCACTTCTAGCTGTGAGTGAGTGTCCGCTTTATGCTATGTATACGGACACTGTTTTTTTCAATGTCTTGTTTAAAATGAGAATAAGAAAAGCACACACGTCTTCGACCATGCACGTGTCTGTCATATTGCCTATGCACAGAATATAGACTATATTCCGGTATATAAGCAGGGCGGCCAAATCCAGTTTTTCGAAATCAGGAGTTTTTCGTAAAACATCAGGAGTTGATCAGGAGATTTTTTCTAAAAAATCAGGAGGAAAATCAGAAGAAAAACAGGAGAGTATCAGGCAGTTTTTTCTTGGGCAAACAAAACAAAAAAATCCAATAACTTTTTCAAAAATAATTCTTTTTGAAATATTTTTTGATGAAACAGTATTATCATTCGTTACCGACTGCAGTACGGATTGAGGAAGAAGATTTTGATCCGGCGGGTTTGGAAGTTCACTAATCTCATCTTCTTGTGATGAGGACATTCGATAAGCACACAGCGGGCCCTTTCAATGTACAATTATTTAGACACTTGATCCAGAAGTTCTGTTTCTGAAACTGATAATCTCAGTTTTGGAAAAAACAAAATCGATGCAGGAAAACGATTGAAAATCAGGAGAAAACCTTAAAAATCAGTTCCTGATATCAGGAGAAAAGTCTAAAAATCAGGAGTCTCCTGGTCAAATCAGGAGATTTGGGCACTCTTTTCTCTCAGGAGATTTTGGCATAAGGTATACAGAATATAATTCTCACTTTCAAAATAGAAAAGAAAACATGGTTAAGATAAGTTATATACAAAAAAAATGTAGATATCAGGAATAGGTTTGAGCAAAATTATCACATGAATTGAGAAGAAATAACAAAAACATCTGACACACAAATCTCTATATGTGCTTTGAAGAATATTCTTTCATACGTTAACAATCAAAAAAAGTTGCTTAAAATCAAAGATCGATTTCATTGAATCCTTCGAGAAGTCCAGAAAAAAATATTTTCATTGCATAGTTATTATATCTATTGTCATAAAAAATGTCTTACGAAACGATAATATAAATAATAGTTGCTCAAAATGAATTGTTATTCCATATCGAAATTTTTATACGAATATTTAATATCAAATTTATGTTTATAACCTTTCTTTGGTCCACCACTAGCAACAAATTTTGAATAATCATATGGTAATTTTTTTCGACATTCATCTTTATCTTTTTCTGTCATATTAATAAATTGAATATCCATATGTTGAATAATTAAAGCTACTAATATTTTAATTTCATTTATTGCCCAAAATCGTCCAGGACACATATGAGTGCCACAACCAAAGAGCATAATTGAAGGCACTGTTGGTTGATTGATTTTTTTGACAAATCGATCATATTCATATTCATATGGGTTTGGACCAAACAAATTTGGATCAAAATGTTTTATAAATCCTGAATAAATAAGTACATCACCTTTTCTTAAACCAATTTTTGTTTTATCGAAACATTCAATAGTTGTATTTCTTATTGCTTCACGTACTGAAATTATATTAAATACACGACGTATAGATTCATGTATACAACTTTCTAATATTTTTAAATTAGCTAATGTTTCTTTTTCATAGATTAATTCTGATGATGATGATGGAATCTTTTCTTTCAATTCTTGTTTAACAGCTTCTAATGCTTCTGGATGAAGTAATAAATCAACTACTGCCCAACAACTCAATGGTGCTGTATTAGCTACACCTGCAAATAACGCAGTTGCTTGGAGAGCTCCAATATCATATTGGGTAAATAAATGTTTATATTTATCACTACGATATAATTTTTCTGTTGAGTTGATTAATTTTGATTCACCATTATTTAATTGTAATGATGAAAATCTTTTTACAAATTCAAGACGATTTTGAAAAGTTGATTTATATAGAATGGAGCGAAATGGTATACGAAAAACGCTTAATTTAAATGCTTGTTCAAACTCTTGAAATAATTTAAAGAAATTAGGTGAAGTATTACGCTGTTCAGTTACAAATGAATGTCCATATAAACCTTCAGCTCCAGCATATAGCAATAATTCACCAAAAAGATCAAATAAATTGGCGGTCTTTATTTGATCATCCTGAATTATTTTTGCGTCAAGTTTCATTGATTCTATCAGTGAATCATATACACGTTTATTTAAAATGTTTAAGTCATCTCCAGCTAAATATCGATGGAATTGTTTCATTTGTATGTGATGTAGACCTTCATCTGTAACACTTTGACGGCTAACATCGAGAGCATTAGCTAAAAAATCCATGAAAAACTTATCAATGGATAAATCAGATGATTTTAATGCCTTTAAATATGTTTGTTCATCAGATAAATAAACCCAACGCTTTGATGTTAAATAGATAACAAATGCTTTTCCATATTTCGCATGTAATGAACCTATAAATCCAATCGGATCTTTGAACATTTCGAATCCAAAACCAATATAAGGTATATATGAATGAATATATTCTGGCTCATGAGGAACAGAATAGAATAAATTATTAATTAATGGTTTCAGAGATAAATATGTAACTAATGCAATAACAATAAATGCCAATAATATTGACAACATTTCTAAAAGAAGAATACTAATACAATACTGTCAATATATTTTTCACACTTGATATTTGATAAAATATTTCTTTTTCTTATTCAGTTTGGAGTAATTGATAGTTCTTCTAAGATATATTCATAAAGAACAATCGAAATTGAAACGTTAAAAGATAATTCGAACTCTTATATGTAAATCTTTCATCAAGGATAAAATCTTTCAAAAGCTAGATACTACTTTTAGAGAAATACCTATCTCTCAGAAAAAGAAATTCCCACTTTTCTTTTAGTATCTAACACAAACCAGAATAGACATTTATAGATATCATAGATTTACGTTAAGAATATAATGATAAACTGCATTAGAAAGTGATCATTTGCATTGCAAATTAGCAATTACTTACTAAGAAAACCTACGACCAAAAGTAAATAAGAAGTAAAGCTTTGTAAATGTATTTTATCGGGTATTTGTGAACTACGCTCCCACCCCCAAACTAATTTTTAGTTACATGGTTGGATAGAGGATGCCGAGTTGTCTTCACGCCCACCGATATTCAAAGTTGTCGTCATCATGATCAAAGTGCATGCACACCTTGTCGTGATGCATCACTTCACATTAGAAATAAAAACGTTCTTTTCTTGTTTAGAAATAAAGTGTTTCCAATGCTCATTTACATATCGTTAGATGCGCCAACAAATTGTCTATCGAATACCCTACTGATTCTATCTAACAGTTCATTTTGAAAAAGAAATTTGTAATGTTACTTCAGGTAACAAATGGTTTTGCAACAAGGGTCTCAAAAAGATTAATTTTCATCTATAATGTTAACAAAAAAAATAATGGTGTTTCTCTTGTAGTTCTATTCATTGGCTATTTTCTAACTCTTAAACTGCAGTAAAAGCGTCTCTGTTCATTACTTAAGTGAACATCTGCTCCTGCCGTGTATCTACAGCAAGCAGGATACAACACGCTTATATTAATAGACATTTGTTATCTAAACGGACCATATGCATTTTTTCCATTTATCTCGTTTTATCAAAACGAAAAGATTATCTAGCTTACTAGAGGTCAACGTCTAGACGAAGGTAAAAATATAAACATATATGAACAATAAATATTTTGGCTAAAAGTGACTCATTTCGCCAGCAAGTTTACTGACTTTTTGTACATACATCTATGGCGTGATCATTTCTTTTTGGTGATCAGCAGAGATTTGATCGACTGAGAGTTTTCTTATTTTCATTTTTATCTCCTCTCTCTTTTGTTCTTCATCTTTTTTTTACGCATCATCTCGAACCTTCCTCGCTCTATATATATATATATATATATGTATATTTCTTATTTTGCTGTCCAGTTGCTTTAACTTATTTCACCGTCATCGTCATAATTTTTTTAATAAAATTATTCGTTCACCATGAGCTAAGTGATAGGTATGTTGGTACTTTTAGCCCTTGAGACTATCATGAGAAAACCTTCTTGGAAGTGTGGAAAAGCAGCTTTGTTGTTGTCCTTACAGTTTAAGGAAAGGGGTAAATAGCAATCTACGTCTGTGCCTATCGAGATATGCATGAAAAGTGTCGGTCCCGATTTGGTCCCGGAAAAATAGTCTGTAGTTCCGCCCCGGTAAAATAACATTTTTGGTCTCGGTTCCGGTGCCGAAAAAATAGTTTGTAGTTCCGTCCTGGTCCAAATCCCAGTGAAATAATGTTTTTTGTCCCGGTTCCGGTCCCGATCCCGACGGGACTGGGACCAGAACCGGGACCGTCTCGCCCATGTCTAGTCTGAAATAAGAAAAATGAGCGTTCGGTATTACATGGATAGCCAATCAACTGAAAGCAGCTACATAACGAAACGTTAATGCACTTATGTCGAGTGTTATGTATAAAAGGCAATCAGAGTAAAGTCATACTTCAGGTGCTATTCCTAACCATACAGAATTTCTGAGAACTCAACAATAAGCTTAAAATGAATAGAGGACGTTGTTATACGATATTAGATATGTGCGACGGAAAAAGTTTCTATAATTTAAGTTCTTCACATAAGAGGATCGTATTAAACCAGTTCTATTTATATTTATATGCTATTAACTGGTGCCTCACTGGACGTATCCGTAGAAAGAAATAGCGGAAAATTAAAAAGTTTATAGTAGAGTAGAATATGATGCAACGTTGACGTCAGTAAACTTGCTGGCGAAATGAGTCACTTTTAGCCAAAATATTTATTGTTCATATATGTTTATATTTTCACCTTCGTCTAGACGTTGACCTCTAGTAAGCTAGATAATCTTTTCGTTTTGATAAAACGAGATAAATGGAAACGCTTGCTTCATGGTGAAAAATCAGTTTTCCAAAGGTGAGTTTAGAGACAAAAATATGGCAGATTTAATTTCCTAAATTCTATCTGCTGCGTTCAACTGTGTACTAATCGATCTTCAGGATGAAAAACAATATTTACTGTTTTTTATCCAGAAGAACAATTTCTGAAAATCTGGTCCCAGCACACAGAATTTAGGAAATTAATTTTGCTACATTTTATGTTGCAAATTTAACTCTCAAAAATGCTTTTTTGAAAGAGAAAACACAAATCTCTAAAATATGTTCTGAATGATTTCATCACTCATCAACTACTACATGTGTGCCTGGCAGCTTAGTTGGTTAAAGCGTCGCGTGTACTTCTAATCTCAATTCCGAGTGCGCTAGTCAGCGAGTTCGATTCTCGTTAGGCTCATATTCTTTTTTTCTTATTTTTGAAGTTAGCTTAGAGTACCCGGTTAACTGGTCACTCCAACCGCCCGGTTAACCTCCCTCTTGTCAAATATTTTTCGTCTTCGGATCTAGCTTAACCGGTCGGTTAACTGGACGGTTAACCTAGATGTTAACCTCCCGTTTGCTCGGTTCACTACTAGGTTGGAGCTAGGTAACTAGGTAAAAAGGTACATTTAGCTAGATCCATGAAGTGAATAACCGCCCGGTTACGTCTGCGTTGGAGCTAGATCCGCTCCATAGAGAATTTTTGCTTGGGAAGCTCCACACGCTTTATGTGCTCTGTCGCAGTGATGATTGGAAGAAGAGATGTTTTTACAAAATTCCTGTTAAAGGAGAGAAATTCTCGTTGAAGTTCGCGTAGTATTCGTGTAAAAATGAAATTCTTATGCAGTTTTGATTTTGAATAACAAAGAATTTTTTGACAAAGGACAGAAATTCTTGAAAAAAGGAAGTACCGCCGAGTACCCGCCGCGCCCCTCGAGCGACGTTTTTCATCTGCATGGGAATCTAGCGAAAAGCTGAATCACTTTTCTTAACCTGTTCGTCTTCTCTTCAACTCGTTCCTATAGACATTGTACGATAGACTTTGTCTCCTCGCAATGCCAGGAATTGCTGTATATTACACTAATTGAAGTTGCGCAATTACCCACCTGTGCTTCTTCTCATCATGGTAAGATTAAATGCAGCAATGAGAAACATTTTAGTCAATGTTAATATTGAAAGTAGTGTCGTCGTTATAATGAAATAACTAAACGGAATGGAAGCCTTCTCTGCTCCTGTAAAACTACTCATGTTAGTTATTGAGTTGAAAGACACAACTCGTTCAGTTTCATTTCGAAGAAAAATGGATTTATTTTTCTACTCAATTGCCATTAAAATAATACAGAGTAGTCTGGGATAATTATAACCAGGCACTAACCTTTTCTCAGTATTTTACGAATGGTTAAGCCAGTTTTAGTCGGAGAAAAATGGTGTCTACACAGGTAGATACATATAACTTTCAGCTATGCACTGATGTAAAAATTGTGTGAAAATTCATTACCGTTAATTAGCGCCATTCAGTTTTCGATGCGTTACTCTTTGTTATAATTACCCCAAATGGGGTACGTGGGGGTACGTATCACAGCAAAAACGGCTGGGACGATGTAAATCAACTTTGATCCAACGGTGAAGTTTACCTTTTCGATTAAAAATTAGTCCATCTTATAGAGAATTTCGAGCTTTATCCAACCTCATGAATTTCCAATCAATCAGCCTTACCCTTAATTACTTAATGAGAAATTAGTAAAATCAAAAGACAAGTAATTTTTTTCGATATACACGAACTGGGCTAATCATAACAGTTTAAGAGTAACGCACTGGAAATTTAATGGCACTAATTAACGCAAGGGGGAGAAAACTGTTTTAAGGATTTTGTGGATTTTGAAGATTTCAAAAGATTTGGAGCGATTTGAACAAGATTTTAATAGATTTGTTGTTATTTTCACTCTCTCTGACCATATAACGTCACTAGTACCCTACAAAACTGGCACAAATCGTCAAATAGCCACAAAATAGCCATGTGCAGTGGAGTCGGAGAATCTCAGTTTAACTGAGCAAAAATATCGTCTCCGTCCATTTCTTGTTTACTTTATCGTTAAATTTTTCTAAGTTATACAGAAAGACTTAAATAAGTTATAAAGAAGTTGAATAGAAAGCTAAAAAATAGATAATTTCTTAATTAAAAAAGGTGTTCTACAAAACTATCTTCGTCTTGGTCTCTTCGCGGTCGTCGTGTTCAAGTCATTACTATTACTTTGAGCTGATCTTTTTGCTGCTGCAGATGGTGTTGCTTTAGAAGGAGCGGAGAGTGACGAAGATGAAGGTGATGCTGCCGTAGATTGAGAAGAGTTTAGATTTTGCTGACAATTAGACGATGTTAAAGTGGAAGAAAGCGGCGAGACTGAAGCTGCTGTTGTTGGTATACTTGCTTGCTCATTATTCACTTTTCTTAATTTTTTCATCATAATACATTTTTTGGTAACTTTGAAATAACGGTACACGTTCGACAACACGAATTTTCCGTATGATTTCAGCAGAAAATTTTTTTTTACAATTTTTACAAGCACAAGTCAAAAACGCTTCATCGGCATTTTTTACTTGTAAAGTAAAGTGTTCACCAGGTGTAAATGAAAAATTATCAGCGGAAAAAAGTTCTGCGTTAGAAGTACACCAGTTTTCTAAAGATTTTAAGATCATTTCCTTTAAATCATCGGT